GGGAGGCATGCTCCAGTACCCCCAGCTTCTGGCCTGCCCCACTACAGGCATATAACTGCGTTTCTGGAATCAAAAGTGAATGTCTGTTTACTGACTTAATGGTTCAGTCTATGCAGCTTAGACTAACCTGCAAAGATTGAATCAATTCAGCCTCGGGCTTTTTGACTGTCTGTACTTAGCCCTAAAGCACAATAATTTTGCCTGAGCCTAAAAGCTTAGCATACAAGAAGACCTATGGCCTTCATACAAGAAACCTTGACCATTATTTAAAAAAAATGTAAGATAGTTTCAAGAACTGTTTGGGGGGGAGAATGTTTTTAAATAAAATGACAAAGAAACACTGCTAGATTAGGAAGCACTAACTCTCCTAATGGCCTTTGGCATTTTGAAAATGAAAGAAACAAACCAGCCACCCTCTTCCAATGAACCTTTGAATTCTGACAAATTAAAGATGTCCTACCAGACATAGCACGTAGATAGTGCCCTACACAAATTAACCCCAATAATTTGCTCCCAAAATAGCATGCAAGGAAATCATTTAGAAGCTCATTTCCTTGACTGGAATTTAGTGGGCAATTTAAATAGAAATATTAGCATGCACGTCTATCTCTGAACATTACAGAATATAATGCACAAAACCTATCCCACATAATGAAAAAGGAGTTTTCTTCCTTTATGTAGTATCCAATTACTGCTCAGAAAAATATCAACATAGTACTTGTCACAAAAATCAATTGAGAATACAGAAAGAGCTTTAGCCAGTTTTTAATGGCAAGCCACATGCTTGGCCTTTGGCCTGGAAGGGAGGGTATAAACTTATAACCACTTGCTCAAAAGATACTGAATAATGTACAGATTGCAATTCTCTGCAAATTATTTGGAAAAGTATAAAAAAATCTAAAAAAGTCAAAATGACCAGTTCTCGGTATTTTTCTTATACACCTGTCTCTTTGTTTATTTCCTTTTCTTCGTGACTGCAGTGTGACAGTTGAGGTGACATTCCCAACCTTAACCTAGACTTGCTTTACTCTTATCATTTTGTCTTGTTACTCTATTATTTTGTTTGCTTAAGACAAAGGGTTGTGTCTTGTGATCTGCCTGCTGAATTGCATGATGATGTAGTGCTCTCCCCATCTATGTGAAGCTGCTAGGAAGGAACGTGGGTTAACACGCATTCAGCTATCAGCAATGTGCAATGACATGTACCTTCATATGTCCTTGAACTCTAATGCTGTCATAGCTGTTACCCAGCTCTCCTAATGTCATGTTAAAAATTTAGTAGAGTTAATGGAAGGTAGAAGCAGACAAGACAGGAACTGTGTCAGTCAGCAGAGGGATCACAACTGAGTTTCCAGTTGTCATAATGTTTCTTTCTATTGGACTGGACTAAAAGGTCCAGGAGGCGACTCCCTGTCCAGTGTTCTTCTTCCATATTGTACAATATTTTACAGTCTCTGCTCTCTCCTATGCCTGATGAAGGCTGAGTGTGCCTGAACTTGCAAATAAATAAAATAATTTGTTTGCAAATATCTAGTTAGTCTCATAAAAGATATCACCTCTTCCATGAGTTTTGATTCCTCTTCCATATTGGCACTTTCGTCTTCAGTCTTGTGGCCCTTCTGGCCCTCTTCTTAACATTGGATTCACAAATAGCAGTGACAGCTAAAAACAATATCCACCTATTGCGGGCCGGGAGGTTGCAACTGTTCTTGACTAAAGCTGATGTAGACTTGATTCTCACTTATTTCTGACCTCTTTGCTTGACTATCGCAATGCCCTGTAGGTGGGCATGAATGTGACAGGAGGCTCCAAACCAGGGTGAAGAGTGTATCAAACATATCTTAATGGCTTTATCCCACTACAACACTACATACTCCTTGGAACAGAAGCTTGTATTCTGAAACAGCTTGTGTCATTCTTAAAGCACATTTGGAAATGTGTATTAAATAGAGTAAAGGGAAGGTGTTTATCCACAACACTGAAGTAATACAAATAGCCTGACTAGTAGTCAGTACTATGATGGGTAATCACAATGCTTCTGACTGTATGGAAAACCGGTTTTCTGATCCTCTGTGGGAGCTCTTGCTCTGCTGGGTTTATGGAAGCTACATGTCACTGAAGCCATATGTTATGTCTCCAGGCAGGGTTGTAAACCATTTCATTTTTACTGCCCTCCTGAGCAGATCAATCCGTAGAGCTGTAGTGGTGATGGGGAATGATTTTTTTTCAGGAGTAGTGCAGTGAAATAAAAGAAGAAAACTTGGGCCAAACACTAGAAAAAATATTCTGCTTGTGCGAGCTGGGGTTGTGATGAAACAAGTCTGGAAAAAGCACTAAATAAATGTTACTGTGCTCTATGAGAAAATCCAGTATGGGTTTCTAGGGGATTGAACTTGTATCTCCTATTTCTTTACCTCTAATTTCTAGAAGAGAACCCCCCCCCCAAACTTGTCATTCTGGCTGTACAATTGGAAGAAATGTATCACATTAAATAAAAAAATAACATGAGGCGAAATGTAGGAAGGATCAGTGTGAACAACAATGAAACAGATGAATGAATGAATGAAACAGATGAGCTAGAGTCAATACTTGCATGGCAAAGGAAGGGCAGCCAGCTGCCAAAATCTGAAGTTCAGCAAATTCTATAAGGACCTAATCCTTCAAACACTTATTCACTCAGGTTGTTCCATTGTTTTCAGCATCAGACTCAAGACTGCCAATCCCCCAAGCATTCAAAAATCCTGAGTCAGGCCTCCAAAACATCACAGATGGCTTAAGATTCATAGGACCTGAAATATAGTTTGCACAGGAGGAATTCACAGGAAGATGCATTCCTCTTTTTGCCTTGCCATGACCTTTGAGAATGTTATCGAAGCCCATCACCAGCTGCCTGTCATCTAGACCTACTCCACATTAGATGAACTGTGAACAGTTTTTTGCCTATTGGAGAAAATCCTTCAGGCGGATATAAAACCCTGTATAGTTTAGTATCTCCCAGTGCTGTCAACCAGAGGGACCTGGAGCAGTTTAAAGTGAAGTTAACGTAGTTCTGTTTAGTTCTCTGTCTTCTCAAATGCAAAGTGGAAAGCAAATGTTTCATGGGGCTGATGTCCAGCTGGACTTCTCACACTGTTTGATCCCAGTAGGGTAACGTGAAATTAAACTTAAATAGACCTCCTTCCTGTTCTTACATATTACTAGAGGAGATGATGTCTCATTTTTTGTGAAAATTGACAGCAATTATCCTGTTAGTAATACTGACACTGGAAGAATTTTCGAGAAAGGCAAGTGAGCCTGAGTTAGGTGGGGAACTGTGGGATACAAGGAGCAAGCTCACTGCATGAAAACATCTGCTCTGAAAATGAAAGAATATTTAACTGTGACCTTATTTCCTGACTCTGTTTGGTAGCTGGCTGTAGACTGCTCTCAACTATCCCTATTTTCCAGGGACAGTCTCTAATTTGGGTCTTGGTGTCCCAGCAGCACAGCTAGCTGTCAGTCCCTAATTACCAGTGTTCAGCCACTGGCTCTTGGCTCTTTATTTACTGCTTTGGTTTGCTGCAGGAAGCTAGCATGAAAGAGAAGAAAAAATATCCTCAACCCATTGGCTAGTCATTGAGAGCAATGTCAGTTATTTAGTACTGGAGGCAGGGCTTAGTTGGCTGACTCTCAAATCCTGCTGACTGCGTCTATCTGAAAGGCAGTGTTTCAGTGTTAAGAGTGCCAGTGAAATGTCCTCTCCTACCCCTGTTTTGGGTCAGCCCGTGAATGGTGGTCACCTAGTGAAGGTGGGTTTCTGAGAAGGGGCCTCCTCAGGAGAATTAATGTATAATATACCTTAAGAATATATACGGTGCATTGATATGCATCTCTGCTGCAGTTTTGCAAAATGCAAAAAGGGAGGGTTGAGGGGGTCAGAGCTTAGATTTAGCATGGAGAGCACTTTTTCTTTACAATAACTGAGCTGAGCAGCTAAGCAGATGAGGTGTTTGTTAGAAGGTAGGTATGAAAGTTAGAGCACCTCCAGCTTCTTTACATTAAAATGGATATCAAAATTAATGAAATATCCAGGTGTGAAGTCTGCATTATTCATGTTTTATTAAGAAAACTAGAGCCCAATTCAAGCAAGTGCATTTGTGTGTATTATGGGAGTGCCTGATAAAGTGTTTGCAGTGTGCATGTGCAGGTTAAATAGTTTTTAAAAATGCGGCCAATATGATTTGGAAATGTAAATCCTGATTCTTCTGTGCTGGTGATCTAAAAGAGGCGGTGATTATCATCAAACGTGAATGTTCTTTCTTTTCTGCTAGTGCATGTCACCTGGCTGGTTTTTATCCACTGTCCAAAGCAAGCTAGATGCAAAAAGTAAACAGGCAGGAGGATTTTCCTCCTGGAGTTTAAAAACATATTTGGCTTACTAGTATTCCAGCAGCTCCTCAGGTTAAAGAATGATACGTGTAAGGAATGTCTGCTCAAGTGAATGTTATTGGAAATCTTGTTGACTTAATGGTCAACTTTCTACCTGGGCGCTTGCCTGCTAGTGACATGTAATAGGCTGTTGTAACTAACATGAAAAAGAGTCAAGTGTAGTTGACCTTGCATGTGTGACCCCAGATAGTGTTTAACCTGGGCCAGGGGTTCTCTTGGGGGGGTCACTTATTTTCCCGTTTTTGACATGGGTCTTTTCCACTAAAGAAGGGGGGAACTTTAACTATGGAAATATGGGGAGTGGTAGAACACCCCCAGACATTGGCCCATGAGATCTAAAAGCAGGTGCAGCACCTGAAAACTACCTCCAGCAAGAGAAACTGACCAGATTGCCAAGTGACTGACTAGATTGCCAAGTGACTGACTAGATTGCCAAGTTGGCAGGGTCTCCTTAAGGTAAGAGGGCTCTTATTCCCCCCGTTGGGAAGCTAGCAGCAGGCAGGATCTCAACAGCAAGGAGGAAGATCCTTTAGCTGAAACCTTGTGCTATGGTGTTTTGCACGGGCTCCAGCCTGTGTCTGCCTCTCAGGCTGCTGCTGCTGCTCACTGGGTGTGGCTACTGCCTGCCTTACTGGAGCTTCCAGCTGTGACTGTCTGTCAGCTTCCGCCCCAAAAGGGGACTGAGTTTGCGGAGACTGGGAGCTGGGGTGAGAGCAGCGGCACCAAGAGACCAGGGTGGCTTTTAGCGGGGCAGTGGGAGAGGAAATAAGCCATGTGAAGAAGCCCCTCCTTTACTACCACCAGCAGTTTTTCCTCTGAGCTGCTTTGATTGTGATTTTTCTTCCCTGGATTGGTTCTTCCGTAGATCGACTCTGCAGAGAGGCGCTCAAACTGCAGTTGATCAGATTACAAAGAGAGAAAGAGAGAGAGATTCATTGAGGGTAGAGGCTTGGGAGGGCAAGGGAACCGGGCTGTCAAAGCCAGAGATCTGGGTCCACGAAGAACCTGCCGTAAGCTGGAGTTTGCCCAGTAGGGACTGTAAAACTGGCACCTTGCATAAATGCCTGCAGAACTCAAACAGGTTAGTGCAGAACTTACATGGCTCCCACCCTTCTCCCCTGTGCCTGTTATAGATCTGCTTTTATTTATGCATGTCTGTGTTCGGTAGCTCTGCTGTTGTCTGTCTGGGGGAGAGCGACCAAGGTGATTTTTATCAAGAGGGCTGGGAGAGAAATCCAAGCTTCTCTTCTAGCAGACTGTTTGAGAGAGATTTTGCTTTTGTCTCCCTTGTATTAACTGCTGAGACCCTCAAGAAAAGCAAACTATTGTTTCCTTTGACCTTCCAGACCTACTCAATAAATCCAGGGAACTCTTTGACAGTGAACAGCTAGAAATAGTCTCTCTCTTTTTTTTTTTTTTTAAAAGCTTGCCATTGTGTTATTGTTAAATGTTCGTTCTCCATACAGCATTCTGTTGCTTTCCCTTTTACTTTGCTGTTTAATATACAGGGGAAATGTCTAAAATGAAACCTTAAAGTTGATTGAAACAAACCTCTTATCAATAATATCAAACACTGGGCTGGTGTTAGGACTCTGTGGAAAAACTGAAATATTCCTCCTTACCTTGGAGTGTCATTGGGAATTGTAGGGCAAAGCTTTTGCAGGCTAGGCATGAATAAATAGAGATCATATAGACTTCTGTAATTTACGGATGCTTTTCTTGTTTACCTTCTTCAAGGCATCTTATAAGCCAGCAAGATAACTTGTAAATTCAGGTAGCTGCAGAGGGAGTGGAGAGCTGCTTCACAAACTTGTATAAGTTTCTAAAACCTTAGTTTTAGTGCATCCTAATGCTTTCTGTGTTGGGACAATGGGAATAAAATATGCTGATGACGCTCCTATACATTAATGTGGGGTAGCCTATTGGTGACGATTCAGCCTGCTTTGAATGTATTAGGTTGACTTGTCATGCACCTTAGTGACAGAGGGTTGAACGGATTTCTCCAAACACCCCTGGTATCAATGCTTTTTTGAGAAAAGTCACATTCTTGCCTGGGCTTTGTGAGAATCCCTGCATGATTACCACTATACTCCTGTATGTGCAGGTAGTCCTTGCAACCATTGACCTTTCTAGTAGAGATGGCAAAGATTCCTATAATTTTTAGGTACATGTTTGTCTGTATTGCTTGTGTTTTGCACCACCTGTGGACGTCTCAGGGAGGAAACACTGGTTTCTTTTTTACCTGTTCATAATCTCTGCCGTCAAACTATTGTGGCTGTCAAATTACATGTAGTTGGTTGTTGATGTACACAAAGTTATCAACAGAAACCTGTCTCCTTTGATATTTTTCCACTGAGAGAAAAAACCTGGAGGTAACGAATTGAATGCTAACTATCAAAAAGGCACATGTGCTATGATCAGACCTGAGTGTCTGGATAAGAGGAAGAGCATGGAAGGGAATAGAAGATTACCCTTAACTGCTCTGGAGTTGTACGTGGCAGTTAATTTCTCCATGTAAATCCATTTTCAATTTCAGAACACAGTTGTATTGTGGCTTTAATTTCAAGTCAGCCTATTAGGGAGCAGGATCAGACAAAATTTCTGCCCAGTGAAACATGGATGCTGGATTCACGGGAGTCATTTTGCAGTGTAATTCTCCAAGTTGCTCCGGTGGTTGTACATTAGAGAGCTCATTATATAAAGAGTGGTGGTTCTTACACTGTGTGCTGTCAAACTAATTTATTGTGAATGTGGAAATGTAGGAAGTAAGGGTTTTTTTGTTTGTTTTTTATAATAATCCCGCTTGCTTAAATCTAGGCCAAGTGGCTCATAGTTAGATGTGCATTCTGTGAACAACATATAGGCAACAAGTCTGAGATAAACCAGAGAGCAATCTAAAATAATAGAGAAGGGGTGGCCAAAAGGGGTGAAGTGAAGTGAAAAGAACAGAGAAGCCTTTTATATGTAAAACATGTATTCAGTCATATGGGACATTCTTACAACAGTTACTATAATGAAGAGAGGGCTGTGAAGGGGCACTGGTTGTAAAGTTGGCTCTGATCTCTACACAGCAGAGTTACGGCTAACATACACCAAAGCAGCTTGGATCAGCATTGGATTCTTTGCCTCAAGTGAACTAATGGATTTTGATTTATTCTAAAATTATACTGTTACACCTTGTTTGCATTTCTACTAGCTGAAAATTAATTCTAAGCTCTCAGACAAATATTTGCCTAGTAATACCACTGACACTTTAACAACACAAAACATCTGAAACCCTGCCAAATATTCATGGATTTTAAATCGTCATTAAAGGAACCAGCAGTAACCTTCAGCCATCCTCTCAGGTTTTTATTAAGAGTTGTCAGCTGGTTCCAAAATTTGGGCAGCAACAGCGTTATCCTGATGTTTGGGATAGTAGTAGCATGCACTGGAGAATCTCATTTCAGCCCTGAACATACAAAGTAGACATCCACAGCGTATTGGTAACATGGCATGATTTCAGTACCAGTTCTTAGTTATTAGGGACTTTTTCTACAGACATATCTTGTCACATTTTGTCAGTCAGAACTCCAATTTAAGTCTTGATCAATTTGCAGTTTCAAACAGCTCTCTAATGGGCTAAATGCAAATACCAAGTCTGAACAAAGGAAAGCTTTTGGATCTAGATTGAATATTCTCGAAAGCGTGGGAACATTCAGATGATGAAACCAAACCCATGTACTACAGCAGTGTGAACTTCAGTCCAGATCTGAGATTTGGGCATAGAGTTTTGCGTCTAACCTGTCACTGATTTCAAACAGTGGCTCACGTTTCATCTTTAAGCCGGTATCGATATCTACAGTTTGATTACAATTGCTGTCATCTGAGGACTCCATTTTTTGCTACTGGAAGGTGTGGAGGAAGAGGCGGGAGGATTGATTTGGATTCTGTTATGACTTTCTGCCACCGTACTGCTCAGATGTGGATCCTGCATCATCGATCTCAGTTCATATACTTTCTGTGGATACTTCTACCTCAGACATCACTCCTATTGAGACTCTTCTCCTGGAAGCTTGCAGGTCTGAAGTCTTCCAGCAGAGCATGGCGTGTCACTGGGGAATTGACACTAACCCGAAAACGCTTGCTGGGATCAGGCCTTTGTTAGACTTTTCCCTCAAATTTCCAAATGTTCCTTTTCTGTTGACGTAGAAGGACGGTGGTTGCAGTGCGAGACTGTGTAGACAGGCCGTCCTACAGTTTGACCACAGCGTACTCTTAGATGTGATCTGGGCAGAACCAAATAATAAAGTGGTTAAAATGCTGGTGGCCTGTCTGCATACTACCATATCTTGGGCACCATTGATGGTGGGAACCTTGAAGAAAATGTTGCTAGAAAAAAAAATTATAAACTAAGTGTAAACCTTGTTGCACCTAAACTGGTTTCCATTATGATTTAGCTAGTGCGGGCAAAACCAAAGCAGCTGGATTTCTGACACAGGTCCTTTCTTAGGTTGACATACGTCTCTCTGTACTTGCTGAACCTATTGTGTTTTTTAGGACTGAACATGTAGCCTTAAATGTACCTTCCCAGAGTAGATTGTTTTTGGGCACTACCTTCCTGAGCTGCTCAGGAAAAAAACCTCACCAACGTCCATGAGTTTTAACCTGCAAATGGCCTATGTATCCTAGTGAAAAGCGGATCTGTTGCTAGCAGCTTATGTTGCCCTTACACTGTGTTAGCGTGTCTGGAGAAAGGGCTAGGCATGCTCCAGCAAGTTGCTATAAAACCCTTTTCAGGGTAGAGAGGGGCTTATGCACCCTTATTGGGTCCTGGTCCATGATTAGGGCTCCTAGATGCTCCTGGGTGCCACAGTAATACAGCACGAATGGTGTACAAAGGAAGAGATGCTCTCTAAATGACACGGTTGTCTGAGAAGGGTCTTCTGTTAAGTGTGTTGTCATGGGATACCAATATTTATAACACCCAATCCCCATACCTATATGTGTGTGTTAATCATGCTTCCTAACAGCAGTAAGACATGCCAAGTAAAGCATTCCAGCCTGGTTATTACGCTTCTTGGGGGGGTGTGTCATTTAACCACCTGTCGCAAGGGGCGTAAGGTGAACCATTTCACACCACACAGATAGTTCTGTTTTTATTCAAGTTCCTCTCTGGTTACCAGAAATAAAATTAAGTGCAAAAGGTGATGTGTACATTGAGAACAGACATCTAAATTATCGTGGGAATCAGTTAGCAGTATCAGTATAAACAATTGTAGACAGGGGGTCAGCATTGAAAAACATGAGCTCTCAAACATGTTAGATGGTTTCACTTCTAGTTAAGGAGTTTGGATCTGATGCTGCTCCTGCTGA